ATAGAAGCAATGAACAGTTATTATTTTAACCTGCAACCATATAGTATGGTATACTTTTCAAAATATTTCAGATGCATTGTCATTTGAGCTCATCACCAACTCATGAGACACTTTGACTATGTTTAAAAAAAAAAAAGCATTCTAAATTCTACAACTACGTAATACATAAACAATAGGCCCTGATTACTCCCATAAGGAGCGCAGAATCAAATAACAAAATGCCCCAAGTTAATTATATTCCACTAATGGTCTTCACTGGTATAGATGATTTAAAAACTGTCAATAATATCCTTAAGAATAATCTTGCAAAAATTTGCTGATGGGAAGTACCTAGAATAATAAATTTGAAAAGATATTGCACTCTGGCTGCACACGGTGGCTCACACCTGTAATCCCAACACTTTGGGAGGCAGAAGTAGGAGGATCACTTGAGCCAAGGAGTCCAGGACCAGCCTGGGCAACATACAGAGACCCCATCGTTAACGAAAAAAAAAAAATAGCTCGGTAACATGGCCTACATTTGTGGTCTCGGCCACCTGGGAGGCTGAGGTGGGATGATCACTTGAGCCCAAGAGTTCAAAGCTACAGTGAGCATCGATTGCACTATTGCACTATAGCCTGTGTGATGCAGAGCAAGAGCCTGTCTCAGTTAAAAAAAAAAAAAAAAAAAAAAAGCTATCGCATTCTTTTAACAACTTGGCAAAAGTTTTAAAATATAGACCAAGATCTAGATGTGCATCTTATGCTAAAACTGGTAGTGGTTTATTTTATAACTTAGTCTTAAATCTAGACTAGAGGTTTTTGTAGATATAGATTTTATAGATTTATAGATTTTATAATAAAATAACTAGAGAATTTTGAGAAAAAGACCAAAAAAGTGACCCAAAAAGCCCTGTATTATTTCTGACACTGAAACTAATTGCTATATAAATCAGTTACTGAGATAAATATAACTAAAAGATAAATGACTAGAGAAGTATACCCAGGTAGATGGCAAAAAGAAGATGGAGAACTACAAGCAACACTGAGAAAATGATGAGATGTCATATGGCACCACCACTGGCAATCCTCGGTGATAATAAAATGGTCAGAGAACGAGTAAGCAAATGATAGACTAGTCATGATTCAGTCTTTACCACCAACATTGCAATCACATTTTCAAAACCTGAGGACAATGATCTGCTCATTCTGGAAGAGTTCTATCCTCAGACTAAGTAATATTTGACCAATAAGTTTTACATAAGTTTCAGACAAAGGTGGAAACAAAACAGATGATGAAAACAGCACTGACTTTTTATTACTAAGGCTAAGGTTACAGCAACATTGTTTTTCACTATGCATCACATTTGTGAATTACAAATTACATTACATCTTCTGCTGTGACATAATTTAAAAATTACCAGAGTTGTTTCTATACTCACAAGTCAAACAAGGAACTGAAAAAATATTCAGAGGTTTTAATAGTTGCTCAATATATTTCACAAACATGATCTGTCATTACTATTTGAAATAAAATGTCCAGAGCCCTTTCACTGATTCCTAAATTATATTCTTAGTATTGTATTAAATTTGTGCCACCAATTTCAATTTCAAGATGCTGTATGATTCAGATTTTACTACCTCATTGAAACTTTTCAGAAACTTATTTTCATTGTTATACATTAAAGATGTATCATTTGGATAAAATCATAAGCACGTATTCAACTATGAGAAATTCGAGTATGTTTGTTGTTTTGTATGAGTTGTGCAACTGTACCAAAAGAAAGTCAAAGCATTACCTTCCTTAGAGTTTACTGAAACATAATTATGAAATTTAAGTGATGTGACATATAATACAGCTTCTAATTACTGCCAGAAGAACAAACCTCACCAAATAAATCATGTCTAGTTTCAGAAGACCTTAGTGCTATACTGCTCTCAAAACCCCCAAGGAGTAAAAACAATACAAGTGTACCTCGAGAAGACCTCAAAATCCTTCACATTTACTCCACCAGCTGAATTCAACCTAACAGACTAAATTATCTGGAGCAGGGCTTCAGTGAAGGCTGCTGCAATTAGGTAAAGCTACTATGCCTGGTACTTTAGGAGACCTAACACACGGGAAAGAAGAGAGACTTGAAAGGATTAGGGAAAAAGACAAGACACTGGGGTAAACTCTACTCTTGGGATAAATAACAAGACAAATAATTACTCTGGGTTTAGTTTAGTTTTGTTTTTCCATCAGCAATTTAGGCTATTATAATAGGTCTGTAACCCTAATCACCACCATACAGAGTCCCAGCCTGAGAAAAATGAAATGACTTATCAGTTACCTTTTCAAAGTAATACATTAAGTACAATCTGAAAAAGTACTCTGGTGTCCAACGAAACAAAACAAAAAACTGAATACATAGCACCACCTCATTCCTTATTGTGCAATCCCAATTTTGGCTCTTCTTATCTTTACTCCATCTTGCCCTACCTTTGTTTGTCCTAGGCCTCCTTTTCCCTCTTACACATTATAGATGTACAGAGACGCAAAACAGAAGAACAACTTTATTTGTGGAATTTAAGTACCAGGGCTTCTTACCTACAAGACTTCGAACCAAGCTACTGGATTTGAAATGCCCAATTTAAATCCTGTGCAACATACATGAGGGAAAAAATTTTGTAACCAAACCCAAATCATAGAATATTTGATAAAACCCCAAGAGCACCACACAAACACATTCTCAATTGCTTTTAATGTTTTCCTCCGTAAAGAACAAAAAACGCTGTGCTTGAGGCAATAATCAGTGGCCTAGAATGATTTCTGAAGCTCTTGACTTTAACCACAAAAGTTCTAAGACACTGATTGAAAATTACATTTCAAATATACCGCTCACTGAAGAAATGTAAACAAGTACTGGGACCAACTTTGAGATACTGTCCAAGGAAGACTAAAAATAGCACCCCAATCGCGATTTAATTTTTTTAAAAAATACAAAAGTAGCTTATTTAGGAGTATTTTAATGAAGAGAATTGGAAATCAACGAAGTTATTTTTAGCAGCCTCTTCAGATAAGACCGACCTTAAATTGCCTTCAGGTGTGTATATTTTAACATCCAGTGAATTGCCTGGAGGTTGCCGGGGGTTTCTGCTGATACTAGCAGGCGGTGAAACCTGAACTAATAATTACGGCCAGGAGGTGAGAGCCCTCCAGGACGCCACCCTGGGCGCGCTCCCCGGGACCAGCCCACGGCTTGCTGTGCTTCCATCAGTCCTTTATTAGGTAAAGGATTTTCCCCACCCCGGGTGCTTTAAGAATGCATTTAATAAGAAATTTCTCACAGGATCTAAAGGAATAAAGTGCTACAAAAATAACCTTTTCGCAGTTTGCGTAATTTTGATGGAGTGTGAAAGGGCACAAAGCCGTCAAACCGGGTGCCCGGTGGATCCGCGGACCTGATCTTTCTGCACGGACCCGAGAGAGAGTCCCTAGAAGAGGAAGAGGGGAAAGGCGTTTGCAGCGTGTTAACTGGCGGACTCGGGACCAGAGAGACAGCTGCGGATTCCCCTCGGGGTGATGCTCCGTACAGGAGCGGTCACGGCGTCCAGAGGGACCCGCGGGTGCAAACTCCGGGAGCGGCTCGCAGGGTGACGGTGGCCCCCGCTCCCCGGTACCTGATGATGTCGTCGCTGTGGCCCCGGTAGAACTTCTGCCGGTGCTCCCGCGGGCTATACACCACGCCGACCCCCGCCACGAAGTATACGATCTCCTTGGCCGCAGTGTAGTAGAGGTTGTTGCGGCACTGGTGGCCCCGGTAGCCGTACACCCACTCGAGCCGCAGGTGGCAGCTCGGGGCGCTCCGGGCCGCCATGTCGGGGCGCCCACCCGCCGCTCCCGCTCGGGCCCGCGGCGGCGGCGGGAGGCGGTGGTGGCCCGGCAACGAAAGCCCACCCGCTGGCAGCCGGGACTTCCCGCCTGCCGCGTCCTCTAAGCCGCGCCCGGCAGGTGCATCTCGCTTCGGGGGCCGCCGCTGCCGCCTCAGCCCACAGGCGGGAGGAAAACCCTCGCCTCGCGGAACATGCTGAGGGCCGCGAGCGCCGCCGGCTGTCAGGTGGATGCCCCGAGCCCTTCGCCCGCCTCGGCTAGCCTGGTCTCCTCAGCCCGTAGCGCCTGGGCCGAGAGCGAGGGCCCGCCTCCAGCTCCTCAGCCGCCGCCAGCGCACGCAGCTCCCCGCCCCGGTCACCTGCGGCGCTCGCGCCCCGCCGCGGCCTCGTAGCCACAGCCTGGCGGACCCGCGCCGCGCACCCCCGAACCGAACGAAGCCGAGCCCAGCCGAGCCGAGAGGCAGGCGCGCGGCCTGGCGTGGCCCCGCCCCCTCCCGCGCTCACTCCGCCCCTCCCGGAGCCGAGAAGAGGCTGGAGCTCGCCGGCCCACGGTCCAGCTGCGGAGTCGCTGGGACCGCGTCTCTACACGCGCGCGGGACGCGGAGCCCTCCGTCTTTGAGCCGCTCAAGCCCAGGCTGACGCTCGGCGACCCCAGGCTCCCGCTGCTTTGTGTCCTCAACCGGGAAGCGCCTGCCTGTTCCTTAGGGTCCCTGCACCCAGCGTAGGCCACGTTTATGCCTGGGAAAATCCACACAGGGATGCTAAATTCTCTTTTTTACGCTTGATACCTTGTGTGTCTTGCTGCCTCATAGTGCTCTCGGACCCAGACATTGGAATGACGCCGAGCTTCCTAAATGTGCTTTTAAATTATTATTTTTAGAGACAGAGCCTCACTCTGTGGCCCAGGCTGGAGTGGAGTGGCGCAATCTCGGCTCAGTGCAGCCTCCAACCCCTGGACTCCAGCGATCCTCCCGCCTCAGTCTCCCGAGTAGTAAAGAGTAAAGTTGCCTACTACTATGCCCGGCAAACATTTTGTTTTGTTTTTAAGTTTATTTTGTAGAGGCGGGGTCTTGCTGTGTTGCCCAGTCGGGTCTCCAACTCCTGACCTTCAGCAGTTCTTCTGCCTCAGGCTTCCCAAAGCACTGGGATTACAGGCCTGAGCCACTGCGCCTGGTTCTAAGTGTATGTCTCCTTAAGTGACCGCAAAGCTGAAAGTAGACTTTAGATCGTAAATTGACACGTGAGATCTGATTTCCGAATTGCAAAAAAAAAAAAAAAAAAAAAATTGTACTTGGAGTTTTAAAAAAAATTACTGTTTGGGACATCACCAACAGTTACTCTTAATTAAATAACTTCAATTGTGATCCTGTAGAAAACTCCTGTAACAAAAGTATTGGGAGCAATCAATTCCTGACTATGTCATTTCCCCTCCTACTCAGTTTCCCAAGTGTCCTCTTCTAACAGGAATATGAACAAGATTTATCAATACCTGTAAAAATAATTTGAAATCCACAATTTAAAAAGTGTTAAGTTCAGGATAGCCACAAGATTTACGACAAAAAAATACTAATTCACGATATACCAATATGAACCCTTATTGTCTAAAAATTACTGTTTGATTTCCATAGGAAATACCAAGACAGATATCTGACAAAAGCTAAAATAAACTACCATCGTTTCAAGAAATATGACTCCAAAAGGGGTGGACTCCTGTGTGGTACAGATATATTGGAATAGATGTTATCCCATGTCTACTTCCTCAAAGATGCCAATTACTAACTTGAGACAGGATTACCGTTTTGGCTTTGATTATGACTTCTAATCTACACGCAGTTTACATGCAAGAAATAAAGGCCATCTGAAAGGAATTTACATAAATGTCATGAAAAGTAAACTGAAAGAGTTTCCATTCTGGGCAGAATTTGAAAAAGCGGAATGCAGGATAGCTTTCTGGCAGCTGCTGGAAAGAAAGAAATCAGGCCTGAGAAGTGGCTCTGAGGCCCATGTAGGGTACCCTGGGCAAAAACACATCGTTTCTCTTTGTCACCTGGAGAGCGTTTTTTGTTTTTTAGTAAGAATATGTTCTAATTCACTAGTGAGTTCCTTGAAATCCCCCTGTGAGAAAAAGGAAAATTGTTGATTACTTAAATTCAAGCAGTGAACTTAGAAAAGATTAAATATTTTGTTGCTATACATTTGTGATATATTAATTACTGGTTACATGTAAATTTAATGAGACAAGGAGGTGGAAGAATATACTTTTTTCTATGTTTCAGATTTTTCAGCACAATACCTTGTGGATCCTATGATACAAACTTAAGTATTCAGATTAATAAGAGATTTACATGATTTATTTTCCCATTCTCATTATTTTCCGTTACGATTTTAATGACCCAAGGGTAGAGTGTGAAGCAAAAACGTTCTTAATTAAACCATCCTCAACTGGCGACTCAAAACCAAAAAAGACAGCTGAGGCACAAAGGTGGCTAGAAAATGAACCATTCATGAATACTAGAGGAAGAAAAAAGCAAGCCTGATCAGTTCTTACCCTCACAACTTTATATAATCCAGTATTACCAGTGTCACATCAGAAAGCTTAATGAAGCTCTTATTGCTAGGTGATATTCCATCATCTGTATCCTGTGAAAGTAATGCACATAAGGATGTGAGAGAAAGAAACAAAAAATTATACACATCAACAAATGGACATTTGTTAAGTATTCCAAACGAAGGCGCCAATACCCCCTGTATTCTATTGGTCCATTCTCATGCTGCTAATAAAGACATACCCGAGACTGGGTTATTTATAAAGAAAAGAGGTGGCCGGGCGCGGTGGCTCAAGCCTGTAATCCCAGCACTTTGGGAGGCCGAGACGGGCGGATCACGAGGTCAGGAGATCGAGACCATCCTGGCTAACACGGTGAAACCCCGTCTCTACTAAAAAATACAAAAAACTAGCCGGGCGAGGTGGCGGGCGCCTGTAGTCCCAGCTACTCGGGAGGCTGAGGCAGGAGAATGGTCTAAACCCGGGAGGCGGAGCTTGCAGTGAGCTGAGATCCGGCCACTGCACCCCAGCCTGGGCGACAGAGCAAGACTCTGTCTCAAAAAAAAAAAAAAAAAAAAAAAAAAAAAAAAAAAAAAAAGAGGTTTAATTGACTCACAGTTCCGCATTGCTAAGGAGGCCTCACAATCATGGTTGAAGGCAAAGAGGAGCAAAGTCACACATGGCAGCAGACAAGAAGAATTTGTTCAGGGGAGCTCCATTTATAAAACCATCAGATCTCATGAGACTTATTCACTACCACTAGAACAGTAGGGGGAAGCAACCCCATGATTCAATTATCTCCACCTGGCCCCACCCTTGACATGTGGGGATTATTACAATTCAAGGTGAGATTTGGGTGGGATACAGCCAAACCATATCACCCCCTTTGGTAATCTAGTTCCTGAAACTTGAGTTCCTAGTATGCAATTCGAGATATTTGAAATATTTCTAAAATTCAGGCAAATAAATCATGTGCTGGCTACTGATTAGCTACCCTTAGGTTTATAAAGGAATCTAAGGCAAAGTGTAGAAAACATAAAAACCAAAATTCCCCAGCCTGGACAACATGGCGAAACCCAGTCTCTACTAAAAATACAAAAAAAGTAGTCAGGTGTGGTGGCGCAGGCCACCATCTCAAAAAAAAAAGTCATGCAATTACTTCTAGCTAGCATGGTGGCTCACACCTCTAATCCCAGAACTTTGGGAGGCCGAGGCAGGAGTTCAGGAGTTCGAGACCAACCTGGCCAACATGGTGAAACCCTGTCTCTAGTAAAAATATAAAAATTTGCCAGACATGGTGGCGGGCGCCTGTAATCCCAGCTACTTGGGAGGCTGAGACAGGAGAATCGCTTGAATCCAGGAGGTGGAGGTTGCAGTGAGCTGAGATCGCACCACTGCACTCCAGCCTGGGCAACAAAGAGTGAAACTCCATCTCAAAAAAATATCTGTATCTGTATCTATAGTCTTACCTTTGATCAGCCTATTATACATGCAGAGCCTACCACAGTGCCTGGTACTACAATAGCTGTTCCCTACATATTTATCAACCATTAATTAGAAAAGAGAATGTTGTGCAGTCACAATAGGATTCCTCTTAGTTGTATCTTGAATACTTGAAAACCTGAACCTTTTCTTTCTTTCTTTCTTTCTTTCTTTCTTTCTTTCTTTCTTTCTTTCTTTCTTTCTTTCTTTCTTTCTTTCTTTCTTTTTTTTTTTGAGACAGAGCCTTGCTGTGTCACCCAGGCTGGAGCACAGTGGTGTGATCACAGCTCACTGCAGCCTTGACCTCCCGGGCTCAATTGATCCTCCTACCTCAGTCTCCCAAGTACCTGAGGCTGCAGGCATGTGTCACCACACTCAGCTAATTTTTTATTATTTAGTAGAGATGAGGTCTCACTATGTTGCTCAGTCTAGCCTCAAACTCCTGGGCTTGAGCAGTCCTACTGCCTCAACCTCCCAAAGTGCTAGGATTATAGACGTGAGCCAGCGTTAGCCACTATGTCCAGGCTTGAACCTTATTTGATATCCAATACTGTATTAGTCAGGACTTCTTTGGTTGTATGTGACAGAAACCCACTCAAATGGCTTAAGATAAAAAGGGAATTTTAATGCCTCATAAGACTGAAAAGTTCTAGAACTGGCATCAATTCACTTGAATCCTAGGGCTCAAGTGATGTCATCAGAAACAGGTCATCAGGCTGGGTGCAGTGGCTCACACTTGTAATCCCAACACCTTGGGAGGCTGAGGCGGGTGGATCATTTGAGGTCAGGAGTTTGAAACCAGCCTAACCAACATGGTAAAACCCCGCCTCTACTAAAAATGCAAAAAAATTAGCCGGGTGTGGTGGCTCATGCCTGTAGTCCCAGCTACTCAGGAGGCTGAGGCAGGAGAATTGCTTGAACCCGGGAGGCGGGGGTTGCGGTGAGCTGAGAATGCACCATTGCACTCCAGCCTGGGCGACAGAGCAAGACTCTGTCTCAAAAAAACAAAATGAACAAACAAAACAACAGCAGCAACAAAACAGGTCATCAGAATTAACTCAGTTCTACTTTGAGTAGACTTCATTGCCAGACAAGCAAAATAACTGCCAGCCACTCCAGTTCTATATCCCACTCGCTTAGCAATCACTGTGGAAAGAGCTTTTCTCAGCAGTTCCCCTGGAAACTGTTAGACTTTAGCCTGGTTAACTCTGATTGGCTGACTTATATATCGCCTTTGGATCCATAGAGTAGCACCAGGTGCGCCAAAACCACAGGAACGAGGAGTAGGGATGGAGTGATCCTCCCAAAGAAAATCAAAATGGTATTACCGGAGTAAGAAAGAATGGGGGCCAGCAGGGCTGCACAGGGCTGACTTGGGTGCTTTAGCATTCCCCAGTCTTCATTTACCAAACCAAATACACCTGCAATCTAAATCATAAAACAGATGTTTAGTAAATAAATGCAACTGCAAGACAATACTTCTAACCAGATTGCCACCCAAAGATCCTCCTCAGAAAAAAAAACAAAAACAAAAAAAAAACTCCTGAAGCTAGCACCACATGCCAGGCAGGTAAAACCAGCAGATGTTCCCTACTATTAACTATATTTTCAAACACCTATTCGATTCCACCTAAAGCCTTTAAAAACTGGTACCGTATATAATTCAAATCAAAGAAATCTCTAATCAAATTGTCTTGTCCTACACATCTGCACACCTTGCCATCTTCACTTTCTCTTTTAATATCAGTATTACCCCAGTTAGGCAGGTTGGAAAGGTAGGCAGTTACCTTTGGTTCCTTACTGTTTCTCACCTCCAATATTTAGTCACCAAGTCTGGCTCTGTTTTAGAAATATTACTAAACCTCATCCCCATCTCTACATCCACACTTTCCTAATCCCCACTGCCACAGTTTAGTCCAAGCTGTAATTATCTTTTCCCTAGCTTCTGCCACCTGAGTTAGCTGTAAAAAAATCATTTATCTGATCATGCCAATTCCCCTCTTTTAACAACATTTGCTATAAGCAATTTAGGAATTGGTATCTTGTGCCTTGAAATATTCTTATCCTTTGACCCACAAATTTCTCATCTAGATACCTGTCACAAGGAAATAAGAAAAAAATGTAAATCAGGATTCATGTTGAAATTCATGTTCAAATATTTATCAAAAGGCTGGGAACAGTAGCTCACGCTATTAATCCCTGTACTGTGGGAGGCCAAAGGGGGAGAATTGCTCCAGTTCAGGAATATAGTGAGACCTCATTGTTACAAAAAGAAAAAAAAAACAATTAACCAGGCATTGTGGCATACACTTGCAGTCCTAGCTACTCAGGAGGCTGAGGGAGGAGGATCACTTGAGCCCAGGAGTTCAAGGCTGCAGTGAACCATGATCATGTCACTGCACTGCAGCCTGAGTAATAGAGTGAGACTCTGTCTTTAAAAAAAAAATTATCGCAGCATAACTTAGGACAATAAAAAATATGGAAGTCTAAATGCCCAATTATAAACCATCAATAATTAAGGGGTTTTGCAGATAAATTTTGGCAACATTACAAATTTCCCATAATAGAATGTAAATGCTTTATAGCAAGATACAAAAACATATATATAGAATGAGCCCAGTTATATAATATAATGAGGACGAGAACAAAAGATACCAAAATGTGAACAGTTTTGTAATATGATGGGTAATTTTTTTATTATACTTTAAGTTTTGGGGTACATGTGCACAACGTGCAGGTTTGTTACATAGGTATACATGTGTCATGGTGGTTTGCTGCACCCATCAACCCATCATCTACATCAGGTATTTCTCCTAATGCTATCCCTCCTCTAGCTCCCCACCCCTCAACAGGCCCTGGTGTGTGATATTCCACTCTCTGTGTCCATGTGTTCTCATTGTTCAACTCCCACTTATGAGTGAGAACATGTGGTGTTTGGTTTTCTGTTCTTGTGTTAGTTTGCTGAGAATGATGGTTTCCAGCTTCATCCATGTCCCTGCAAAGGACATGAACTCATCCTTTTTCATGGCTGCATAGTATTCCATGGTGTTTATGCACCACATTTTCTTTATCCAGTCTATCATTACTGATGGACATTTGGGTTGGTTCCAAGTCTTTGCTATTGTGAACAGTATGACAATGAACATATGTGTGCATATGTCTTTATAGTAGAAAGTTTTATAATCCTTTGGTTGTATACCCACCCAGTGATGGGATTGTTGGGTCAAATGGTATTTCTAGTTCTAGATCCTTGAGGAATCACCACAACGGTTGAACTAATTTATACTCCAACCAACAGTGTAAAAGCGTTCCCATTTCTCCATATCCTCTCCACATCTGTTGTGTTCTGACTTTTTAATGATCACCATTCTAACTGGAGTGAGATGGTATCTCATTGTGGTTTTGATTTGCATTTCTCTAATGACCAGTGATGATGAGCTTTTTTTCATATGTTTACTGACTGCATAAATGTCTTCTTTTGAGAAGTGTCTTTTCGTATCCTTAGCCCACTTTTTGATGGGGTTGTTTGTTTGTTTTTCTTGTAAATTTGTTTCAGTTCTTTGTAGATTCTGGATATTAGCCCTTTGTCAGATGGATAGATTGCAAAAATTTTCTCCCATTCTGGAGGTTGCCTCCTCACTCTGATGATAGTTTCTTTTGCTGTGCAGAAGCTCTTTAGTTTAATTAGACCCATTTGTCTATTTTGGCTTTTGTTGTCATTGCTTTCAGTGTTTCAGTCACGAAGGCTTTGCCCATGCCTATGTCCTGAATGGTATTGCCTAGGTTTTCTTCTAGGGTTTTTATGGTTTTAGGTCCTATATTTAAGTCTTTAATCATGATGGGTGATTTTTAGACTATTCTTGCTACGTTTTCTAAGTTCTTTTTAAATATACGTGTTGGGTGTGCGTGGTGGCTCATGCCTGTAATCCAAGTACTTTGGGAGGCCAAAACAGGCGGATCACCTAAGGTTGGGAGTTCAAGACCAGCCTGAACAGCATGGGGAAACCCCGTCTCTACGAAAAATACAAAATTAGCCAGGAGTGGTGGTGCATGCCTGTAATTCCAGCTACTCGGGATGCTGAGGCAGGAGAATTGCTTGAACCCGGGAGGCAGAGGTTGCGGTGAGCTGAGATTACACCACTGCACTCCAGCCTGGGTAAGAAAGCGAAACTCTGTCTCAAAAAAAATTATGTATGTGTTCGTGTGTGTGTGTGTGTGTGTGTATGTGTGTGTGTTTGTAGCTGGGTACAGTGGCTCAAGCCTGTAATCCCAATGCTTTAGGAGGCTGTGGCAGATGGGTCACTTGATCCCAAGAGTTCAAGACCAGCCTGGGCAACATAGTGAGACACTGTCTCTACAAAAACATTTAAAAAGCAGCTGGGTGTAGTGGCACAGGCCTATGATCCCAGCTAGTAGAGAGGTTGAGGCAAGAATGATCCTTTGAACCTAGGAGTTCAAGGCTGCAGTGAGCCAATTGTGCCACTGCACTCCAGCCTGGGCGACAGAGTGAGACTATCTCAAAATACACATAGACAGACAGACAGACAGACACACAGACAGACAGACACACACACACACAATCTCAAAATACACACACACACACACAAAAAAATAAGATGAGATAATTTTGTTTTTCAGCATTCTGCATGGGAAAAGAATTATGTTTGTATAGAAAAAACAAAATACCTGAATGAGTGCTTGGCATAGAAAATTAGATCCTAAAGGAACCAAATGTGGACAAAACTGTTCTGCAGGCAGAATGAGGAAGAATTTGTTGCTCCAGGAAGATGAAGGAGGAATGAAAGTGAGATGGCAAAATTGCAAGTCCTGCCATGTAGCTCTCTCCAAAACCTTTCAAATCTTACATAACATTTCTAAACTCATGAAATGTTAGGTGGGTTCTTTCTTAAAATGGAAACTGGAGAAATGGGCTTCTCATGTGAGTTGATGTAGCAGAAGCAATGCCACAAGAAGAGAATAATAAAGTCGGTGGGGAGCAGGCAGGGAAGTCCTGGATTCTAACCGGTAAACTTGGAGTTCAAGCCACGTTAAACTCTACAAGCAGTAGTGAAGTCAAAACTGACATCTCAGTTACACACACCCATTGCTTTTATTGTTAGGGAAAAGTAACAAAAGTAATTTTAAACAAACATTGGGTAGCATCTAATTGCTATATAAAGTACCAACTCCTCATGTGACACACAATGCCTCCCATCTCTTTTAACAGACACACCTCCAGCCAGTTCCTCCCTGCTCTGAACTAGCCCTGCTGTCTAGACATCCTAGATTGCTGGTAATTCCTAAAATTAACCAGGCCTTTCAAGAACTGTGTATACATTTGCAGCCTCCATGTTGTGCCATACCCTCAACCATCCACTGTCAGCCTGTTAAACTCCTACAGAATCTTTGAGGTCCAGTCCAAATGGACCGCCTTATTATGAGTTGGATTGTGTTCCTCCCAAATTCATAGGTTGAAATCCTAACACCCAATACCTTAGAACAGGGGTCCTCAATCCCCGGGCCATGGACTGGTACCCATCTGTGGTCTGTTAGGAACTAGGCTGCATGGTAGGAGGTGAGCAGCAGGCAAGCGAGCAAATCATCATCTGTATTTACAGCCACTCCCCATTGCCCTTCATTACCACCTGAGCTCTGTCTCCTCTCAGATCAGCAGGGGCATTAGATTCTTATAGGAGCACAACCCCTATTGTGAATAGATTGCACACGTAAGAGGGATCTAGGTTGCACGGTCCTTAAGAGAATCTAAAGCCTGATGACCTATCACTGTCTCCCATCAACCCCAGATGGGACTGTCTAGTTGCAGGAAAACAAGATCAGGGCTCCCACTGATTCTACATTATGGTGAGTTGTATAATTATTTCATTAAATATTACAGTGTAATAATAAAAGAAAGTACACAACAAATGTAATGCACTTGAATTATCCTGACCCACCCCTTCCATGAAAAAATTGTCTTCCACAAAACCAGTCCCTGTTGCCAAAAAGGTTGGGGATTGCTGCCTTAGAATGTGACTTGATTTGGAAAATATTTCATGGCAGATTACAATTCCTTAAATTAAGATGAAATTCATACTGGAGTAAGGTGGGCCCCAATTCAATGTGACAAAGGGGTAATTGGGATACAGACACCCACACAAGCCAAACTGTGTAAAGATGAAGGCAGAGATTTGCAAGTCAAGGACTGCCAAGAACTGGCACAACCACCAGACACTAGGAGAAGAAAATAAAATTGATTCTGCCCCACAGCCCTCGGAAGGAACTAACACTGCCAACACTTTCTATTGTTGAAATTGCTATTGTTGAAGCCACTCAGTTTGTGGTACTTAATTACAGTAGCCCTAGAAATCAAATACACACCTCTATTCTATAGTTTGCTGTGACATCCCCATACACAACCTCCAGAATTA